CCTGCGATCCGTTGGATTCCATACGATTCTGATTCGAATTCCCGGGGTGGTTTCCGACGCGTGCCTCGTGGGCCTGTGCTGTGTCCTGTGTGATTACTATATCTTTTTGTGTGAGAACACACATTTTGTTATTGTTGCCTTGTTTGCTCACATTTGGGCACAACAAAAGGTCCCACAATAAGCGACATGCAGGATGATGACAATGGGAACGACACACAATTTCGATGATGTTCTTTCAAATTTAATTGAACTTATTTCGCAGTGCAGCTCCGAAGAGATGGTGTTATGTAAGGTCAGCACATAACCACCACCTTGGATTTTAAATAACAATTAAATGAGGAAATTAGCTAAAGCGAAAAGAGATTGTCAAAGATATTCCATCTACAGGCTTTTTAATGGATTATTCTATGGATATTTGTTGCGGTTTTGCAAGTAGTATTCGCTGCATATATTGCAAATATTTCCCATTAACTTCCCAATCAATTCGTCGTCCAGGGAGGGCCAACAGACAACCGATTGACCTCTGTCCAGGCGGACACTCTTCAGACCCTGCTGGGGAGGCCGTTTATCGATGGAGATGGCGATGGCGATGATCCGGGCCAGTTGTGGTTGCGTCGTGCCACAAGGGCTAGTCTCGGACCAAATTGCCATCATTTGAGCAGCAGTTTAGGCCGAAATGCCAGTCTTTCGCTTTTGCGAGGTCTCCTTTCGGTCAGCATTTAGTTTTATGGAACTACGGGAACAACGGAACGAACGGCTGCCTTCAACTTAAAGAGACAAAAACTAACAAACCTGAGAAACCGAGAAACTAACAAACCATATCAACATCAACATCATCATCATGATCAGCAACCGCATCATCGTCATGGTCGTCATCTGTGGAGGAGAGAAAGAGCTGGGAGCGATAAAAAGATTTTTGTTTCTTGATTTCGTTGCACCAAAAAAGGCAACGGCAACTCCCATTAAACCTCCCAAAAAGGCAAAAGGCGCCGTGTTGCAGATTGTTGTTGCTGTTGCTGTTGCAGATTGCTGGCGCCCACCACGACGAGGGAGCAGGAGAGCCACCAGGGCAGTGCCACGCCCAGACCCACGCCCACCAGAGCAACATTTGTGGCATATTCTCAGATTTGCTTAGGCCTGGACCCCATTCCCATCCGCAGCCCATCCGCAGCCCATCCGCAGCCCATCCTTGGATGTGCGCAAGTGCAACTGCAACTGCAACAGCATCAGCGTCAGCATCATTAAAGCAGCTGCATTTAATTTCAATGCCCATTTAGGACGCGGCCCGCCAACATTTGCTCCAAGGGCCGCTTTTCCTCTGCGACTCCGACTCTGTCAGCGGCAGCTGCCACAGCTCCGACTGGACTGGACTCCGACCTGCCTGGCCCCCGATCCACGCATTTCTTACAACATTTTTGCCGCGACTAGTTCCCAGCCAACACGATTCTGCCCCATCGCCCAACCCCACACTGCCCTCACCATCGCCCTCCCCCTCGCTTGGATGACTGCTGCGGCTGCGGCTGCTGCTGCTGTTGTTGTTGTTGCATCAATTAAAGCTGCGCTTGATTTTTTAGATGCGTAGGGCGGACGACAGGTGCAAAGTGCTACAACAGCTCAGCCCCAGCCCCAGCCCCATCCCATCCACAGCCCCAATCCCCAACTCCCAGTGATTTGAATTTTTCCATGCGGTTTCTTAGACTAGCAAAATTACAAGTATATATACTACCAGGAGGGGAAAAGAACAGGCTCCAGATGCAGTAAAACCTATAGGCAGGAACTCGGGCTGGGGCTGGCTGTCGGACTGGGCCACAGGTGCAGCGGTAATGGCAGTGGTGGTGATGTTGGTGGTGGCAACAGCTGGGGCAAATCATTTGCAAACGCGTTAAGTGCATCACCGGATGGGCGGTGACGATCTCAGCATACAATGATATAGGCATCCATGATATGACTCAATGGATTTGGGCGCTGGCGGTATGCATGGCGCAATCCAAATTTAAAATTGTGTTCGAAACCAGCGGTGTTTCTATGATACTGTGCGCGGCCATGCCATGGTAAAACTGCGGAGAAACTAGCCGAATACCAACTTAGGCCCTTTTTTAAGGACGTTATGGCCCTTTTTTATTTTTTCTATTCTAGTTCTTTGCGGCGTCATAAATAATGTGATTTCCAAGGTTGGGTTCAATTATTATCACGAATTTTCAATACACAATATTCCAGAATATTCCAATCTTTGGGTTAACTAATCGCAGTGGGAGAGATGCTTTCTTTTTGTGCGTTGCAAACAGGTAGGTCATGCGTAAAAGATGGGTTTGTGGGTCTGAGAAGAATTCATTCTTTCATTTTGTATGGTGGTGTTTTTATTTTGACTGTAAACATTTTGCTGTTTTAGGACTGTTGAAGGGGAAAAAAAAAATTGTATAACTAATATGAGAATGAAACAGTGTGCAATTTCTTACTATGATTTGATTTGAATTGATGTGAAAAAAATGATGTCCCAAAAAAGATAATAGGCGAGCGTATATCACAAGTTGAATAAACGTGTACATATAACAAAGCCTCAAAAAAAAAATCCTATTATATATATCCGTGTATATAACTGGACGTGTGTTTTTAAGCCTACAAATTTCTTATTCTCTACGAAACAAATAACGTTAAAGATGCGCTCCTGGGCAAACGAACAGTCCGCGCTTTTTGTTGATCATGCTATTGGAGATTCTCTGCATTACAGATCTTTTTCTCGGCCACCTGGAGGCTGTGAAGTAGCTGGTTAATAAGCGTCAACGCCTGAGAATTCCCCTGGTCATCGGCGAAGTGTGCCACCTTTTCGAGGAGAAGCTGGACTGCTGGCAATTGAAGATGCACTCTTGGGTGGGTACGAAGTAGCTCAAGGGCTTTTGGTCTTTTGGCACAGCTCTGACCATTATCTGGCGTTGTATCGCAATCTTTTCGCTTTCGATTGCCGGATGAGCTTGTGGAGCCTGGAGATTTGGCAGGTAGGCCCACAGGCCCATCAATTAATTGAGTGTTTTCAAATGGTGTCGGAATGTTACTATTTAGTAATAGGTCACTGCGAATTCTTATGGTGGGCCTATCTTGTGCCTTCTGAGGGATGATGGTGATCCTGTTTTCGCTGGGCTTCAGCTTTGATTGGTCAGTGAGGATGGTGGGTTTTTCCTGTGCCTTGTCAAAGGTGGCTCTTTTGGTGGTCTCATTTGGGGCCTTGTGAGTGGTGATGGTGCTGTGCTCGCTGGACTTCAGTTTTGAATGCTCAGAGCGGACTTCAATGCTGGGTTCATCCTGGGCCTTGCCAACGGTGTCTCTTATAGTCGCCGTATCTTGTGTCTTTTGAGGGGTAATACTGATCTTTTCTTTGATACTGATATTCGATTTGTCCATGTGGAATCCTATTTTGGGTTCTTCGTGTGTCTTGCCAGTAGTGATCTGGTCTTGTTCGACTTTTTTAATTTTTTGGTAAGTGCGAATTCTTAGGGAGGTTTCTTTTGGTGCCTTGTGAGGGGTGGTGGTGATCCATTGGGTTTCGTTGGGTTTCCGTTTTGATTGATCAGAAAGGACTCGAGTGGTGGGCTCATCTTGTGCCTTGTCCGGGCTGAGCTTGTCTTGTTTAGCTTTCTGCTTTGATCGGATGGCTCTCGCCTTCGATCGACCTTCGATCGCAGTCTGGCTTACTCTTTTAGCAATAATTTCGTTCTTAATAGTACGCGTCTTAAGAGTCTCTAAGTCAAGCTTGCCATCCACGTGATCTGCGTAGTCTTTTAAATCTATATCGCCTAGCTCGTCATCATGGATGATTATCGGAGATTTCGACAGGCTGGATTCGCTGTCGAGTAAACTATCCAGACTTTCGCAAGTCTCTTCATCTTCATCGTCGTCGCTACAGAGGTCAATGATGATAGTCGAAGGTTTGTTTGTGGCTGCTTGGACTGATTCGGATGCTGGTTGCTCAGTTACACTGTTAGTCTGTTTCGATTCTGCTTTCAAAGAAGCTTCAGTCTCTCCATTTAGCTTCGATATCCAGTCACCTGCCCACGCCATGACGTTCTCGTAGGACGACGCGGGTAACTTTGTCTTCAGCTTTTCCTGGCATTTTTTGGACAAGAAATGCCCATTCGGCCCTTTGCTGACCTTGAAGTGCTCGAATCCAGAGTTAAACAAATCCTTCCTGGAAGTACATATATGGGTAGTATAGATTTAACATGGTAGTCGAATATTACTTACAAAGTTGTTTTGTTCATCCCCTTGAAGGTCTGCATATTCTTTATCTCCCTGCTGCTCAGAATCAAAACTATCATTTAAGCTGTTTCCTTAATTTAATCCAATATATACAACTACTGAATCAAAATTGTTCGACTTTTGGTGCCTCAACAGCAATGTGATAAGAAATCGAACTTAACCCACTTAACCCCCCTCTATTTAAACAGTTCAGCGACTAGAGGTAAATGGCTGTAAATGTTACTGAGTGTGACTTCTTCTTGTAGATCCATGCCATCTTTCCTCTGAACTTACAAAAAAAAAAGATATCTTTCACCTGAACTGCGGTAAAATGATTACATTTTTGTTATTTTCGGTGGAATATTAAAAAAAAACCCCTTGGCACACAATGGGTTAATTGGAAACCATATTCCTCGATTTTAATATTCCTTTGGATAATGCTAATAATGAGAACTCTCAGCTGTGAATACATAATTTTATCCGATTGTCGAATCGATTTCCCTTCAAGACTGGCTAATTTTAAGAGCTCATTTCACTGGTTTGTTTATAAAGTAAGGTTTAAACAAAATGTCACCCTGATGGGAATGCGAACGATAATAAATGAGCTGCCAACTTGGTTAAAATGCCCACTCGTGGCGTTATTTTAATGTTCGCCGTATCGAGAAACTCGATATTACGCTTTGCAGCACTGCCGCCAAGTATATGGCGCTAAAACTACTCTCGTTTCAAACATTTTAGCGACAGTATTGACCACTCGTAAAATATTTTTTTGATTATTCATTTAATTTTATAATTATTAGATCTACAAATGGTTTCCCACTGTGCTGCGTGTTTCGCCACGGTTTATTCGCAAATTGCCCATGCAGCCTTCAAAAAGAATATCGGCAATGGCTTTTCGTGCCAAGATTCTTTGCGTCGGTGCCATCTCTTCATACTGAACCGCCCAGGACTTGGCCAGCACCTCCGAGGCCTCGCTTAAAGCTGGATGGGCGTCTGTACCATTTGATCCTCTGCCCACAGTCAACGCCACGTTCGTGGAGACGTTGCGGTCCTTATAGTCGGATGTGTTAAATCCACAAATTTCCGGTTTGACATCGCCGTCTCGTGTGAGCCTATCAGTATCCATGGGTTCCCCGTCATGCTCGATGATCTCTATTTTCGGACTCAGCAGCGAACTCTCCTCTGATTGTTGCACACCTTGCTCTGGTAGATAGCTGGCTATTGTCTCCTTTGTTGGCCAGTCACTCACAGCATCCAATGGGTCTGATGAGGCCTGAAAGGAAGCAATCCATTATGAAACAAACTGCAGTTATCGTCTTATCTATTTTTCACTCACATCTTTTCCAAACTCAAACATCGTCTTTGGTTTTGTGGTCGCCGTTCCGCGAACTTTTCTGGTTCTGCCTTGTTGAAACGACTCCTGGGTCAGAAGGAATCCCATATAGTCGTAGAACCAAAGCGTGGGCTTGCACAGATCCGAATGAAATCCCAGTTCCTTTTGCTTCAGAATCCGCATCTGTTCGCGGCGGTAGTTCGTCCGGAAGATGTTGATGCGCCGCCCAACTTCAGTGCGCGTTGCATTCGGCTGGATCTCTCTTAGCTTCGTCTCCAGAAGCTCGTAGGCCTTGTTTCGCAGTTCCTTATTTCGGTAGTCGACATGGTTAGCGTCCCATAGCTGTGGCATTCCTTGATAGAGGGCCAAGAACTCGCGCCAAAACTGACGCTTGCCAGCGCTGAAGCGGTCAGGCAAGGGCGCTGGGGGTATGCATGGCGCAATCCAAATTTAAAATTGTGTTCCAAACCAGCGGTGTTTCTATGATACTGTGCGCGGCCATGCCATGGTAAAACTGCGCAGAAACTAGCCGAATACCAACTTAGGCCCTTTTTTAAGGACGTTATGGCCCTTTTTTATTTTTTCTATTCTAGTTCTTTGCGGCGTCATAAATAATGTGATTTCCAAGGTTGGGTTAAATTATTATCACGAATTTTCAATACACAATATTCCAGAATATTCCAATCTTTGGGTTAACTAATCGCAGTGGGAGAGATGCTTTCTTTTTGTGCGTTGCAAACAGGTAGGTCATGCGTAAAAGATGGGTTTGTGGGTCTGAGAAGAATTCATTCTTTCATTTTGTATGGTGGTGTTTTTATTTTGACTGTAAACATTTTGCTGTTTTAGGACTGTTGAAGGGGAAAAAAAAATTGTATAACTAATATGAGAATGAAACAGTGTGCAATTTCTTACTATGATTTGATTTGAATTGATGTGAAAAAAATGATGTCCCAAAAAAGATAATAGGCGAGCGTATATCACAAGTTGAATAAACGTGTACATATAACAAAGCCTCAAAAAAAAAATCCTATTATATATATCCGTGTATATAACTGGACGTGTGTTTTTAAGCCTACAAATTTCTTATTCTCTACGAAACAAATAACGTTAAAGATGCGCTCCTGGGCAAACGAACAGTCCGCGCTTTTTGTTGATCATGCTATTGGAGATTCTCTGCATTACAGATCTTTTTCTCGGCCACCTGGAGGCTGTGAAGTAGCTGGTTAATAAGCGTCAACGCCTGAGAATTCCCCTGGTCATCGGCGAAGTGTGCCACCTTTTCGAGGAGAAGCTGGACTGCTGGCAATTGAAGATGCACTCTTGGGTGGGTACGAAGTAGCTCAAGGGCTTTTGGTCTTTTGGCACAGCTCTGACCATTATCTGGCGTTGTATCGCAATCTTTTCGCTTTCGATTGCCGGATGAGCTTGTGGAGCCTGGAGATTTGGCAGGTAGGCCCACAGGCCCATCAATTAATTGAGTGTTTTCAAATGGTGTCGGAATGTTACTATTTAGTAATAGGTCACTGCGAATTCTTATGGTGGGCCTATCTTGTGCCTTCTGAGGGATGATGGTGATCCTGTTTTCGCTGGGCTTCAGCTTTGATTGGTCAGTGAGGATGGTGGGTTTTTCCTGTGCCTTGTCAAAGGTGGCTCTTTTGGTGGTCTCATTTGGGGCCTTGTGAGTGGTGATGGTGCTGTGCTCGCTGGACTTCAGTTTTGAATGCTCAGAGCGGACTTCAATGCTGGGTTCATCCTGGGCCTTGCCAACGGTGTCTCTTATAGTCGCCGTATCTTGTGTCTTTTGAGGGGTAATACTGATCTTTTCTTTGATACTGATATTCGATTTGTCCATGTGGAATCCTATTTTGGGTTCTTCGTGTGTCTTGCCAGTAGTGATCTGGTCTTGTTCGACTTTTTTAATTTTTTGGTAAGTGCGAATTCTTAGGGAGGTTTCTTTTGGTGCCTTGTGAGGGGTGGTGGTGATCCATTGGGTTTCGTTGGGTTTCAGTTTTGATTGATCAGAAAGGACTCGAGTGGTGGGCTCATCTTGTGCCTTGTCCGGGCTGAGCTTGTCTTGTTTAGCTTTCTGCTTTGATCGGATGGCTCTCGCCTTCGATCGACCTTCGATCGCAGTCTGGCTTACTCTTTTAGCAATAATTTCGTTCTTAATAGTACGCGTCTTAAGAGTTTTTAAGTCAAGCTTGCCATCCACGTGATCTGCGTAGTCTTTTAAATCTATATCGCCTAGCTCGTCATCATGGATGATTATCGGAGATTTCGACAGGCTGGATTCGCTGTCGAGTAAACTATCCAGACTTTCGCAGGTCTCTTCATCTTCATCGTCGTCGCTACAGAGGTCAATGATGATAGTCGAAGGTTTGTTTGTGGCTGCTTGGACTGATTCGGATGCTGGTTGCTCAGTTACACTGTTAGTCTGTTTCGATTCTGCTTTCAAAGAAGCTTCAGTCTCTCCATTTAGCTTCGATATCCAGTCACCTGCCCACGCCATGACGTTCTCGTAGGACGACGCGGGTAACTTTGTCTTCAGCTTTTCCTGGCATTTTTTGGACAAGAAATGCCCATTCGGCCCTTTGCTGACCTTGAAGTGCTCGAATCCAGAGTTAAACAAATCCTTCCTGGAAGTACATATATGGGTAGTATAGATTTAACATGGTAGTCGAATATTACTTACAAAGTTGTTTTGTTCATCCCCTTGAAGGTCTGCATATTCTTTATCTCCCTGCTGCTCAGAATCAAAACTATCATTTAAGCTGTTTCCTTAATTTAATCCAATATATACAACTACTGAATCAAAATTGTTCGACTTTTGGTGCCTCAACAGCAATGTGATAAGAAATCGAACTTAACCCACTTAACCCCCCTCTATTTAAACAGTTCAGCGACTAGAGGTAAATGGCTGTAAATGTTACTGAGTGTGACTTCTTCTTGTAGATCCATGCCATCTTTCCTCTGAACTTACAAAAAAAAAAGATATCTTTCACCTGAACTGCGGTAAAATGATTACATTTTTGTTATTTTCGGTGGAATATTAAAAAAAAACCCCTTGGCACACAATGGGTTAATTGGAAACCATATTCCTCGATTTTAATATTCCTTTGGATAATGCTAATAATGAGAACTCTCAGCTGTGAATACATAATTTTATCCGATTGTCGAATCGATTTCCCTTCAAGACTGGCTAATTTTAAGAGCTCATTTCACTGGTTTGTTTATAAAGTAAGGTTTAAACAAAATGTCACCCTGATGGGAATGCGAACAATAATAAATGAGCTGCCAACTTGATTAAAATGCCCACTCGTGGCGTTATTTTAATGTTCGCCGTATCGAGAAACTCGATATTACGCTTTGCAGCACTGCCGCCAAGTATATGGCGCTAAAACTACTCTCGTTTCAAACATTTTAGCGACAGTATTGACCACTCGTAAAATATTTTTTTGATTATTCATTTAATTTTATAATTATTAGATCTACAAATGGTTTCCCACTGTGCTGCGTGTTTCGCCACGGTTTATTCGCAAATTGCCCATGCAGCCTTCAAAAAGAATATCGGCAATGGCTTTTCGTGCCAAGATTCTTTGCGTCGGTGCCATCTCTTCATACTGAACCGCCCAGGACTTGGCCAGCACCTCCGAGGCCTCGCTTAAAGCTGGATGGGCGTCTGTACCATTTGATCCTCTGCCCACAGTCAACGCCACGTTCGTGGAGACGTTGCGGTCCTTATAGTCGGATGTGTTAAATCCACAAATTTCCGGTTTGACATCGCCGTCTCGTGTGAGCCTATCAGTATCCATGGGTTCCCCGTCATGCTCGATGATCTCTATTTTCGGACTCAGCAGCGAACTCTCCTCTGATTGTTGCACACCTTGCTCTGGTAGATAGCTGGCTATTGTCTCCTTTGTTGGCCAGTCACTCACAGCATCCAATGGGTCTGATGAGGCCTGAAAGGAAGCAATCCATTATGAAACAAACTGCAGTTATCGTCTTATCTATTTTTCACTCACATCTTTTCCAAACTCAAACATCGTCTTTGGTTTTGTGGTCGCCGTTCCGCGAACTTTTCTGGTTCTGCCTTGTTGAAACGACTCCTGGGTCAGAAGGAATCCCATATAGTCGTAGAACCAAAGCGTGGGCTTGCACAGATCCGAATGAAATCCCAGTTCCTTTTGCTTCAGAATCCGCATCTGTTCGCGGCGGTAGTTCGTCCGGAAGATGTTGATGCGCCGCCCAACTTCAGTGCGCGTTGCATTCGGCTGGATCTCTCTTAGCTTCGTCTCCAGAAGCTCGTAGGCCTTGTTTCGCAGTTCCTTATTTCGGTAGTCGACATGGTTAGCGTCCCATAGCTGTGGCATTCCTTGATAGAGGGCCAAGAACTCGCGCCAAAACTGACGCTTGCCAGCGCTGAAGCGGTCAGGCAAAGACGTTGTCATCTTGGAACGAACAAATCAAACAGTAAGCGAAAAATGCTACGAGAAGAGTAATGTCTTTATAGTCCTGGTGAGAATTCTTTGTTTTTTTAATTTTAATCAAAAATACAAGCAGGCATCAGCTGTTAACTGGGATGTCCACTCTTTTTCTGGAAAATCATCAAAATACCAACAACAAAAATGTAGTGCTGGAAAACACCAAGCACACGGACAAAAAAAAAACGAATTCACATCGACTTTTGTATGCATACCCTGGAATTAAATTCCGTTTTTGTGTGAGTGTTCTTGTTGTTGTTACAATCTTGAAATCCGTTTTAAATATGAGTCGACGAAAACACCCTCGATGGACGAAACTGGACCGACCTCACGATTCAAGCACCAATCATGAACTGAGTCTCTGATGTAGACGAAAACAGCACCAGTGTGTGTGTGCCAGTGTTCGATTGAATGATTGATTAGTTTTCTGACGGCGTTGATTGTGTGGTGCATGTATGCGAGGGTTGGTTGTGCGCCATTCACACACATACATAGCTGCAATACATACAGAGCTAAGTCAATCAATCAACGACCGCGCATAGAGAACAGCCTCAGGTTTTGTAAACACGGCTGGAAATGCGCAATAATACAGATAGCCTGCATAAGCACAATTTGAAATTTCACAATTTGTAAGAATTTTCATTGCTAGTTAGCTTTATTTGGCAATGCGCCACCCTGTGTGCCTACCCTGTAGCCCTTGCAATATCCCAACACTGATGCACGTGGATGTATGAATGTTTGTGGAGCACCTGCGGGGCGCAATCGTGGGCCGGAGAGCGCCGCCTGGCCAGATGCCAGTTTGGACTAGACGTCTGGCTAAGGGCAGACATGCGCACATCATTCACACAGATGAATCTCGCAATCATTCCGAGTGCTTTGCCATTATTAAGTGCCACTATTACTAGGTAGAGATTCGATCACGGAGACACAACCTCTACATTGATGTGGATTGAATGATTGACATGCCATATGCAAATGCCCAACTTTACTCAAGCGTAATTGTGCATAAATACATATGTACATACATATGTATACGTATGATTTCTTGACACGCACTCACAGACAGCGCCCACCATTCTCACACGAACACATACTCAGATGCAATCAAAACAGATGTTTGACTGTGTTGGGGTTGTGAGAGCGTGAGGGAGAGAACGGCCGCCCGGCCGGAACACCATCCATCCGCAGCTAAGGGCAGACCTGCGCATTGCCCATAAGGCGCGTATATTTAGCCGACTTTTTTTGCTGGCCATGAATAGGTGGCAATATACACATGTACACAATTACATATGTACACACGCTTGAATCTATATATGCATGTATATAAATATATATATATATATATGTACGTATATGTATGTATGTAGGTAATATGGTAATACTCCATATCGATATTATAACAATGACGCAAGGTATGTAATGATTTTGGTTTAGTGTATTTGGTTCGAGTACAAACTAGATCTACCTTACGGCTAGTGATTGAGTGCATCTTCGAGATGCCTGGCTACGAACTAATCTTAAGACTGGCTTGCTCTTTGGCTGAAGCATATTACGGTTCCCCTGATCCTGAATTATCCTACGATGAGGCGTCGTCCACCTCCCGCATCAGCTCGTCGGCTCGGGTGATCAGGCCAATCAGACGATAGTTCCGCTTGTGGAGAGCGAATTGCTCAAGTAGTTTCAGGTACTTTCGTGCATCGGCGCAGCTGATGACGTTTGTCCCGCTGGCGGATTGTCCGCCGTTGTTGTTGTCGTCGTAGTCCGGCGGTAGACGACGCTTGATGCCTTGGCGTGCGACTGATGGTGCCATGGTCAATGGTGGCATCGGCGGCAGCGTTGGAATCGCCTCCGGTGCCGGGCTCAGCCTGCGCTGGCGCATTTGCTCAATGTATTCCATTTCGTTCTCCACATTGGCAGCCAGAACCTCGGCCAGCGACGTTACACTGGATCGCCCTCCGTTGGCATCGTCTTCGAGTTCATCTTCTCCAAGCGGTTCCTCTTTGATGCGCACAACAGGTTCGGACTCCGGTTCCGGCTCCGGATCAGGTTGGTCCTTTGATGGTGCCAGAGCCTCTGCTACCTCTTTATCTGTTTCTGTCTCCTCATCCTCGGGGTCTTTGGGTTCCGCTTTGATGTCCTTTTCTTGCTTGATCTCGAGCATGGGTGCAGGCACTACTGGACCCTTCTCTGGCAGCTGTGGCTGCTGCGGCGACGGACGCTTCGTTATGCTCTGGGCCAATGTAGCCAGCGGTATAATGGTCATGGTCATTGGTTGTGCGCCACCGCCGGGAGGCTTTGCACCTGGTGGGAGAATGGGTGTGGCCAGCAGCACCTTCTGCGACGTTCCGGGCGGTGTATTGGTGTTGAGCGGCAGAGGCACCCTGACCAACTGAGGCAGTGGGTGGACGGCACGCGCCAGATTCAGTTCGCTCAGCGATGGCTTCACATCCTCCTCCTCCTCCTGCTCCTCTCGCTCACTAATGTCGCCGCCATCCACATCGACCTCATCGTCCTCCTCGCCAGCATGACTGCTGAACGTACTGGGAAGGCTCACTTCCCCGTCGTCCTGCTCCTCCTCCTCTTCGTTCTGCTGGTTGGTGCTGTCCTCGGGCATACACTCGGACCTTACGTCCTTCACAATGTCCTTGATCTGGACCGAGTGACTCTGGGTGTAGCCGATCTTCAGAAGCTTTGTATCATTGTTGTCGATGCCGTAGGTACTGCGAAACTTGTCGCACCACTCCTGGTGGGGGAAGAAGTGTGCCAGCCCCATGGAGCTCTTGAACTGCAGCGCCATCTTCTGAATGAGGCCGTCGGATATGATAAAGTCCTTGTAGTACATCATGCGCCGAATCCAGTCGTACACAGCCTTGCCCAGCATCGAAACCCTCACCGTCTTTGTCTCCATCGTGCGTGCATCCTGGGTGCGCCGCGTCCGCTGCTCCCAAGCGTTCATAATTTCCTGACGCTGCTGCACAATGCGCTTGATCTGGTCCGGACTGCAGTTAAACAGCCGGCCCACGTGCTTGTAGACCGGCAGACGATCGTACTCCCGCAGGGCGGCCACCTTCTCGTTGAGAGCGAGGACGTTCTTGCGCTTGATGCGGTTGTCGAAGGCCACCTTTTCGGCTGGAGATAGCATAGGCGTCGGGGTGAATGACCTCGGACTGAGCGTCGGCCCTTTGGGCCTCACGACGGCATCCACGTCGATTACCTGGGGACAACGAATCGCATGAACTGGGGGCCGCAATCAGGGCATCATTATCGACTCACCTTGTCCTTCTTGTCATCCTTTCTGGAGGTCTGTGCCTGTGCCGCCTGGTTCCTTTGCTCCCTTTCCTTTCTGCGTTTTTCCCGTATCCGCATTTTGTTGCTGCTTTAGCTCCGCCTCTGGCGAATGTGGCAAGACACAATTTACAGTTGTTTTGCTGCGCCCACTCACCCTCTCTTGCTCTCTCACAGACACATCCAAGCGCTATGTATGTGAGTGTAGCGCGGGTGTGTGTGTGCTTTGATGGATGGTGGCTACGATTATGCGCGTTGACTGCTTGAAAACGTCGCCAGCGACAATTTTCTTTCCGATTTATTTCATTTTCCGCCTCGAATTCACCTGAAATTTTCAATAACCTTTTGTCTGGCCACCAACCAAGTGCAGTGCGCTGTCGATTATAGTATTCTATGGTTTTTCAACGACGCTCAGCTGCACGCACCGCGCTGTGTTGGTTGTGTTGTGTCGACTAGAACGGTTAATATAAAAATAGCTGCTTTGTGCCTTTGGCCGCGGTGTACGTTGCTCTGTTCTCTGGCGAATGCGCAGCGTGGCGGCCGCAGTCGAGAGAGAGAGAGCGCGTTGGTTCTGCGCCGGCCTGTGTTTTGCTGATAAGCGTGCAGTAACTGATACAAAGAGTGTGAGAGGCTAGAGAGAACGAGGCAAAGCCAGAAAGCAGCTATGCGGAGAGAGGGTTGGAAAACTACACTTACGGCGCGAGATGGTCGTCGTGTATGTGTGTGCGAGCGAGTGTGAGTGTGGCTTCTGCGCATGCGACAACTTTACTGTTAGTTCATCTGATCGCAGAAAATTCAATAAGCGCTGCCTAGCGCAAAATCGAACTTAATTGCTAATTTTACTCAACAAACCAAACCGAATTTTGTATGGTTTTGTTTTAAAACAAAAGTCGAACAAAATTGTCTTCTTGTGCCTTATATTTTATTTGTGCATCTATTAGGCGTTTAAGGTACATACATATCTATGTATAGTTAAACGGCTAAGAATTCTGTACACCAAATTTGGTTGCTTTAACTTTTGATGCTGGTCCAGAATATGTACATATACTTTATGGGGTTGGAAACGTGTCCTTCTGGATGTTACACGTGGATCTAAGATACAGCCATGCTCTTGAGGGTATAAATAACATTTTTTGTAATTAATAGATTAATTCAAATTGAATTGCAAAATTCACGATAAACAAAAATCGAACTGCATCTGATATAATCGTTGTTTTTATTGACACACGCTCACTAAATGGCTAACCAAAGTTGGTAAATTTACGCAAAACGTAGGACATGGCAGCCGGGTTATCGGCGGGCACCATGTGTCCGGCCCGGTTCACCCAGAACATGCTGAAGTTGCCGGCCGTCTTCTCATAGCCCTCGAGGACACGGTCCACGGTGATGCCTACGCGGGGAGCAGCCAGGTAGGCCGCCTTGTCCGTCCACTCCATGTCGGCAATCCAGTTGATAGCGCCTGGGGTGGCACAGATCAGGTCCAGGCCGCCGGAGAACACACCCACCCTGACGGTGGTGTTGCTCAGCAGTTCACCCACTAAAAACAGGAGGGCTCTGCTGTATCAGAGAAGATCTGGACCCGGGCACAGGCAAGAGTTATCACTTACCAATGTGGACGGCAGGCTTCATGAAATCACCCATTAGAGCGGAGAAGGTTGCGCTGCTCTGTGCGCCCCACTTGACCCCGGTGGTGATGTTGAGGGCCTTGGTAACGGGGCCCTGCATCAACTCCTGAAGAAGCTTGTCCCGATCCTCGTCAATGTCGTAGTGCACCAAGGTGCGGTACATGAGCTCTGCCAGAAAAAATGATTGAAAAAGTCTTTTTTGAGTTGACCATGTTTCATGAACCTACCCTCTTGACTCATAGCCAACGACCTTAGAACATACTGATCGCCAAGTGTCGGTGTCTCCACATTGTAGAAGTCGACGCCCTTCGACTCACGAAGCACCACCGACTGCGTGGAGCTCCACTGAAGTGTGGCCAGGGTCCACATCTCCCGGTCTACATATTTCTTGGTCGATGAGGCAGAAGCCGCGATCTTGTCATGGCCATCCTGGTCAACAATGCCCAGCTGAAGGAGGAACGGAGCCCAGGAGAGGACGGAATCGATTGGCGATGTCCACGGATCACCTAATCCGACCGACACCAAGTTGCTCTCGATCTCACCCCGCTGGATGGCATAGTACAACTCCAGGGCGAACTCAGGGGCCATCTTTCCGCCGTAGCTCTCGCAGAAGATGTGCAGAGGCACCGCCTTGAACTCCGGATGATTCTCATAAAAGCCCTTCATCAGCTCCACCAGATCCAGGGCGATCTGCTTGTTCGTCGTCGTATAGTACGCTGAGCTGTCGACGTAGCTGAAGCCGCTACCCACGGGATTGTCTATGAACATCACATTCATGTCCTTGGCCCAGTTCCAATCGCGGTAGCTGCCGTCAAGCTTCAGTGGTCCCAGCTCCTCGAAGTTGCCATAGCCCGTGGACGAGGCACCCGGTCCGCCTTGCAGCCAAATGGCCAGGGGACGTTCCGTGTAGTTGGATACATTGGCCGTGGTGTAGTAGAGCCAGTAGAACATATGGGCACCCGTTCGCACATCAATGAATCCCCAATCCTGTTCTCCGGGTCCATATCCTTGACGGGCTGGGAATCGAGGTAGGGGATTTTTTAGTGCGGTCTATAGTCGATCAATTTTAAGCAATATTTCAATAATTCCCTATATTTTGGAAGTGAGTAAATACCTTTTATAGACGGTACATTTTGTATTAACGAAAGAACAGACGGCTTTCATTAATGCTAAAACCTGGGTACTTGGTGGTGGTGTGGATACTTGAAGACTAGTCAATAATCTTAATATATAAATTAAAACTAAAATTATAAGATAGTTACTGGTATTTCATTAGAACACTTGACTCTAATCGGGCACAAGAACGTTTCATGCCCCAATTAAGGAACCTCAAGCATCCACTCGTCGTTCACGATAAGCTAATTATGATTGAATCCCAAGAATACTTCATATTTCACATATCTATTCCTTCGATTTTGCATCTGTGCAACGAACAAGCTTAAGGTGGACAATTCTGCTCTTCCTATCATCCACAACAAAAAAAAAGTTTTTTTTTGGGTTGGATAACTTTCTCGTTCATTAACACCTAATGCGGTATTTCTGATCGGAATACAAAGTGTTTCTGGCTCCAATCCAATCAATTGAGGGCGACACTCACCGTTGACAGAGCCGCAGCTGAAGAGCGCCAGACAAAGCGCGACAGCGGTGATAAGAAGACGAGCCATGGTTGAGCTGCACTAGTTTTCTCTTTAGCTCGAAGTTTGAAGTATCTTTGAAGCCCAACCGATCGCTTGGCAGTTCGACTACTGTCTGATCGCTGGCCAGGCCACGACCAACGAAAGTAACCAACACAACACGCAGACGGCACGGCACTCATATCTGTTTGAACAGAGTTTGTAATCTAGAAGTGGGGGAGGCATGCGGCCGGCTATCACTATTTATGGCCCTTAGAAGCGATGGCGATGACAATGACGCTTACTGACTTATTGGCAATTATCTCCATGACATTTTTTAGTTTTGGCAAATCTTTGTCACTAAATTTGTAAAAGCCTTTAAGCGCACATCATAATTATCTAGACAGAACCGAAATTGGGTTTAACACAGCATTTTTCTTTGTTGAACTTTATTTATGAACAAATGTATGTACCATACATGTATCTGTTCTGCTCGGTCTGCTTTAGCCGAAGGTTGTGAACTCCCGCAGGACATGGCTCATGGCGGCTGGATTATCGGCGGGAGCCATGTGACCGGATCGGTTGATCCAGAACATGGTGAAGTTGCCGCCAGTCTTCTGATAGCCCTCCAGAATGCGATCCACGCTGATGGCAGTGCGCGAGGCAGCTAGATACTCGCTCTTTCGGCTCCAGTCCAGCTTGGCTATCCAGTTGACGGTGCCGGGCGTGGCACAGATTAGGTCCAGGCCTCCAGAAAACACGCCCACCTTTAGAGGAGTCTTCTCCAGCAGCTCATTTACTGTAGATTGTAGATTGATATAGAGATTAACTAGCTATAATCACATGGCGGTTCTTTACCAATATGGATAACGGGTTTCATGAAGTCTGTTCGGTGTATGTCGAAGGTACTGCTGCTCTGCGATCCCCATTTGACATTCGAGGGTATGCCCAGGGTCTCGGCCACAGGGCCTCGCATCAGATCCTCCAGCAGCTGGTCGCGGTCCTCGTCAATGTCGAACTTGACCATGGTGCGGTACTGTCGCTCTGGCAGGAGAGAAGATCCATTTTAAATCATGGCTGTACTTCTACATTCAGGCACTCACCTTCAGGCGTCATGGCCAGCTGCCTCTGGAATCGGTCGCCGAGGGTCTCCTTTAAAACATTGTAGAAGTCGACGCCTTTGGAGGCCTTCATCACCTCCCACTGGGTGTTGCCCCACTGTGCAGTGGCCTGGATCCAGCGCTCTTCTGCCACCAGCTCGGCAGTAAAGTTTGCCGCAGCCGTAATCGCATCGTAGCCGTCGTGATCGACGATTCCCATCTCCCTGAGCATGGGTCCCCAAGCCAGAACCGAGTCGATTGGAGATGTCCACGGATCTCCCAACGCAACGGACGTCAGATTGCTCTTCACCTCGCCCCGCTCCTTTGCATAGTACAGCTCCAGGGCGAACTCGGGTGCCATCTTGCCGCCATAGCTCTCGCAAAAGATGTGCAGGGGAACCGCTTCGAACTCCGGATGGAGCTTATAGAATCCCTTCATCAGCTCCACCAGATCCAGGGCAATCTCCCTGTTGGTGGCCGTGTGATAAGCCGTACCGTCCACATAACTGTAGCCACTGCCCACGGGATTGTCGATGAACATGACGTTCATGTCTTTGACCCAGGTCCAGTTGCGGTAATCGCCGTACAGGTCTACGGGTCCCAGTTCCTCGAAGTTTCCATAGCCCGTGGATGAGGCACCCGGACCGCCTTGCAGCCAAATGGCCAGGGGACGTTCCGTGTAGTTGGACACATTGGCCGTGGTGTAATAGAGCCAGTAGAACATGTGGGCGCCTGGACGTACGTCGACGAACCCCCAATCCTGCTCCCCCGGGCCATATCCGGCCTTGCCTACGGTTTGCAATTGTTTGTGCGATAGATAGCAAGGCGGTGATTTATGGACGCGACTTACCATGTGCCAAGGCCGCGAAGCAAGCAAGCAATATCACTACCAGGCTCGTCATCTTCATGGGACACTTTGGCCCCAGCCGTGGCGTGGGGCTACATTTAAAGGGAAATTCTTATCTATCCACCGCCCGCCTAAGCGGGTATCGTAGGCACCTCTGCGGAATTTGAACTTTTGTAGGTCTGGCAACGCCGATACCCCTCAACAGCTGTTTGGACTTCGTTGTTTTCCTCTTTTGTGTCTGGCCGCTACGAAATAATTTAATTAATTAGCAAATAACAGAAGTTTCAGCATAATAATGGCAATTGTGCGCATACCCAAGCAAAAGGTGATTCTCTGCGGCGACTATGGCGTCGGCAAGAGTTCGCTATTTCGCCGCTTTACCAACAACACATTCGTTACGGAGACGGACCGCAAATCCACACTGGGACTGGATCACATTGATCGGGAGTACGATGTGGGCGACAAGCAGATTAAGGTGTGTGGTGTCTGTAGTGTGCGTGATACCAGCTTAATGTACTGATCTTTTGATTGATGGCAGCTCCAACTGTGGGACACTGGCGGCATGGAACGTGTGGCTTCTGTGACCTCTTCTTACTATAAATTTGCAGAGGGTGCAATCCTTGTCTTCGCCCTGGACAATGCCGCCTCCTTTCACTCGCTCTCGCAGCACTTGCTGGACATTGTTACGTATGCGGAGAATGCGAAGATTTTCATCTGCGGCAACAAGAGCGACTTGGAGGGCCGCGAGCCGGAAGTCAGTGACGAGGAGGTGGAAGCCTTTTGCGAGCAGTGTCACTCACTAATCAGCGCCACTTACAAGACATCCTGTCGCACTGGGGCGGGTGTTGAGGAAATGTTTCGCGATATATCGCGACAGCTGGTGCATGCCAATCGCTCCAAAATGGAGCTGCAGGCTCTCGAGCAGAAGAGCTTCAAAATTGACACGGCCAGTGACCCGACGGTCAACGAGGAGGCCTCCTCGTGCAGTTGCTAGCAGTTGGGGAACATTGAGTTTGGCTAAAGACATCCCACAGCCAGACTCAATGCGAGCAGAAATGCATTTTTTTTTTGACTTTTTATTTATTAACGATGCGAATTGTAGGTGGTTATGTTGTTTTTTTTACGAATTAATGCAAAATACGTCCCGAAAATTAACACGAAACACCAAACTTTTAACATGAGTCATAGCATAAGAGTAGTATCTAGTGTCTAGGCGCCGTGTAATGCCAAATATAAGCTACACGTATGTAGTGCGTTAGTGCGTAAGTCTTTGCAGCTTTGTTCCACTAGGATTAGCCATTGGGATGTTTCCTTCACACACTGAATACTCATTAACGTAAGATATTCTAAACAAATAATAAATAATCGATTCACAAAACAGGAATGCGTCAACATATGTCATTAGTGATAAGCTACACTCAAATAGAAATTTATATCAATTGGTTTCGTTTCTATTAGGTTAACTATGAGGTGGCGGCCGAGGAACTCGGGGCAAAGGTGAGATATAGGCTGACACCCACAGCCACCACGAAGCACACACCAACCCCATATAAAACGACCTTTTCTCTCAGAGCCCTCAGCACCATGGTGTTCAAGGTGCGGGAGGCACGGCCGAGATCGGCGTTTGTTTCCCTCAGACGTGCCCGGGCACCTTGCAAGGTCTCGCGCTGATGGTGCAGGTCGTTCAGTACTTGTGCGCCCAGAGCCTCTGTCTCCACGGCTACCCGATATCCCTCGGTCAGTCGATTGCCAGTGCGCTCAATCCGCTCGGAATTGTCTAGTAGGCGTTGTCGCTGGTCATTGTTAATGGACACATCCTCGTAAAAGTCCCCGGCCCCACCCAAGTCCAAGGTTGTAAAGGCGTTTGGCTGCGCCTTATTCTTGGTTTGCTTGTACTCCGCCTGGAGGCGTCGCAGCTCGGCTTGGGCCACCTGCAGCTTGCTGTTGAAGCTTGTTCTCTGTGCTGGATTCAGCTCTCTTACCTCCAGGCCCATCTGCTCCAGCAGCTCCTGTGCCTCGGGCAGGCTGCCATCGATTTTACTGCACAGCTCATTACGGTCACCTGCAGGATTACACGAAAATTGATTATCAGCCCACTGCGTGTGTATGTGCGAAAATATATCTTCCACTTCACTCCACTCACTGCTGCTGCTCTGTTGCTGCAATCGTCCGATATGCGCTGTTATCTCCGCAATCAGAGCTGCGTACTGCTGCTCGTACTGTTCCAGCAGCGACATTTCTTGTTTATGTTACACGCGAAGAGAGAACAATATGCGTTTAGCAACAATATGGGCTAATTTTTCCAATGAAGACAAAAACGTAAACATTGGCGCAGTGTGACCGCGTCGCAGGAAGTTGATAATCTCAGACAATAACTTTGCCATATTTAACGGAAAACTTGCAACAACACAAGTTATAAATAATTTTTAAATACGTGCTTTATTATTTAGCATATACATATGTATGTACGATATATATTTTAGAACTCTTTTTTTCATGCTTAGGTACTTCAAGTCTTAGAGAGCGGCGACATTCATACTCCACGCTGTCGTTGTCTTCACTAACGCTTGATCCTGTCCTGTTAATGGAATGTCCTGGGCCTGCTTCTGATATTTTAATGAAGCTGTTTCAGTCTTGCTTCTCTTCTGCAGCACCGTAAGTAATGATTTGAAGTAATGGCCTTAAAGTTCTCGGTGGAGATCACAAACTCTTCCAGCGTTTGCCTATGATTCACTGCTTGCGCGTAAAAAGGGTTACCGTATAGGCTTCCTTTTTCACTTGATATCCTTCCTGGCTCTCTTAATAGTTGTTCCATTGGTGGTAGCATTGGATGATTAGGTGCATTGTCCCTTTTATTTGCAAGATTTAGTACAAAAAAAAAACTAGTCAGCCATCTTGTATTGTGTGGCCAGATCACAGCAGACGCAGGACAGCTGTGGCACAATAAAACGCAAATTTTCATATTCTTATTTTTATAATTAATAAATTAATGATTTGTTTAGTTTAGTTTAATTTATTTTAAGTCATGGTAGTAAAATTACGTAGTTCAAAAAAAAATAATACTACATATTTCAGTAATCTACGAGATACATTTGTATGTACACTGTTCATCACATTTGTGTTTTGTGTTTGTCATTTAATAGCGTTCGTCGCATCCCCCTAGCCATCGACTATGGTGCCCTTGTCGCCCTTGCGCAGCACCAACTCCAATTGGGAGAGCAGGCCAATGGCTCGAAAGTTCTCTTTGAAGAGCACAAAATCCTCCAGTGGCTTCAGATATTCGAGAGCGTCAGTGTAGCTGTCGAGTTCCTTCAGCTCGTTCGTAATGGCCAAGGCATTCGACTCGGGTTCTGGAGATGCGTGACCATTTGTCTGGCTGCTACCAGAGCTGGTGCTGCTATTGGAGATCCTCTTGGGCGAAGCTGGCGCCGATGTGCATGGCTGCGCCGGGGAGTTGTTGCCCTTGGTGGAGTTAGCTGGAGTGGATTTTCCACTGAGGCCACCGTTTGTCTTAGGAGCATTCTCCTTGCTACTGGCGCTGTCGCGCCCTCCGCTGCTGTTGTTGTTTTGCTCCTTTGGACTGGGGAGCCGTAGATTGGCCGTCTGTTCGGTAAGGTCCTGCGTGGCTTGTGTGGACTCAGCCAAGGGCAATGGTGACACTCTAGAGATTGTGGAGCAATTGATTTCCTGCACTTCCATGTCAGCCGCCGACTCAATCTTTGGGTGCTTGGCTAACTGAACTGGCTGGAACGGACTAGCACGCTTCGGCACAACATTTGGTGGCAGTTGTGGTTGGAATGGCTCCCTATGGGGCTGTGGTGCAGGACCCGTCATTGGTGGGAACTGCGGCTGATGCATTTGCTGTTGCTGCTGCTGAAGCTGTTGCTGCATCTGTTGCTGGTGGCGCTCGAAGTAGTAATCGTTAAAACTGGTGAAGCCCGGATGGGGGGGATGTGACGGGTGTCCCGGAAACGGCGGCCATGGATGATTCATCTGATGCTGCTGCTGCAGATGCTGTTGCTGCTGCTGGAGAGCGAAGTGCTGTTGTTGCTGCTGCTCCTGATAGCTTTGCTCCTTGATGTCCATGCTGTCTTCGTCCTCTTCGTACTCGCCATACTGCTGCATGTAGTTCATGTAGTGCTCCGGCATTTCCTCCAGCTTAGCGACACGCTCAGCACTGGCCGGGGGGAACAGGTGCTGAAGGTCGTGGACAATATCGGGAATCCAGAGGGAAGTGCCCATGGGTTTCAGCTGATTGCTGGCAAGTTTCTGGGCAAAGCCCTGCAGATGTGTCTCGCGGAACCGGTTCAGCCAGCGATTGTCGGCAATAAAAGATGTGCTGCCGATCACCTGACGGGCGGTCTCAGCCTTATCCTTGATCATGCCATGTGTGATGCTTCCACGCAGTTGTGGATTGATGTTGGCTCGTACCAGCCACTCGTAGACGACTGCATTAATGTAGGCGCACTTGCGACTACGCTCGATCTCCTCCACCATCGCCTGCTGCTCCACAGCGGCCATATTTGATGGCACCTCCAGGCGCAGCGTGGGCAGCGCGTTCGATTGTAGGCGTCGTCCACCCAAGACACTGGGATCGAAATGAAGGGCGCACACCACAGGCTTCTTGAAGGGTATGATCCTACGCAGCGAAGCATGGCACGCCTCCTTCCAGAGCTTGTGGAATGGACTTTCCGGCCGTGGAAAGGCGAAGAACTGCATGCTCGGATGCTGCCGGGAATTGGACATGCAGCCGATGATGCAGCAACGCCGAATGGTCGGCATTCCGGAAACGTTGTTCTGTATGCCCCGAATTTTTAATGAATTTTGTCTTGGCGTTGCTAAATGCGCCGCCAAGCCACCGAATGAAAAGAAAAGAATTAAACGTCAATGTCCACCAAAAGCTGCAAAAAGAAGAGAAAAACTTTGTTAGCGGAACGTCACTGAATTTTTTACCATACGCACAAAATAAGCACAAATGGCGCATATTTCGTTTTCCCGTTACATTGACAGCTGAGCGTTAGTGTTGATAAACACCATTGTGTAACACTAGCACAATTTGGCGCCAAGGGCCAACAGGTTTATTTTATTTGAATTTGAATTTGCTTTTTGTAAATCCCATGTAAGCGGGTATGTATGAATCATAAATACCCAGAAGGACAGCAGAATTTGTAAAATTATAATGAATTCTATGAACAAGCCAGCTTCCGACCCGACTCGGATCTCGAGCACATCTGACGCATCGAACTATTCAAACCCCAACTACACAAGTATATAGAGATATATACTTATGTTTACATATACATTTATCTACACATGTCCACTTCGAGGGTCTTTTGAAGCATATCATTCCATCTGCACACACAGAGACACTTGAGATATAATGGAATACATATGTACATAAGAGGAATACGACAGCGCCATTCCCCCAAAAGATACAGATACCACACCAGAGCACGCCACGCACAGAAGCAGAGATTCCTCCCTATAGAAATTCTCAGTCAACGATGCGTACGCCTCCAGAAATCAATACATTTCCATTCGCAGCGCCCCAAAAACCAGAACCAGAACCAGACATACCTCGAACGACGCTCTATTATATCGGGGAGTACACCCACACACTCACACCCACAGAGCCCTACTGATACATACAGATACAGAAACAGATTGAGATAGAAGTAACAGAGACGCCTGGCTAAAGTGAACGACTTGGCCGCGCCCCCTTCTCGACTGTCCGCCCCCAGGGTTTAAGAGAGGGCGAGATACTACATCTCTGCTGAGTCACGACTACGTACGGGTATGTACAAGTTTCGACCGACCGAAACCATTCAAGACACGAGATGCGGGAGCCGAGAACCGAGACTCACCTGCCTGAGTCAGAGCCGGTCTTTGGATTAGCAAAGCATCACATCGCACTACTGAGAGATGACTTAATCCGAACAGCATGTCCGTTTCTCTCGTTCGTCGAAAATCGGGCCAACTAATCGAGATTTCGAATGATTAGGCTAAAGTCGTTTCTGTTTCTGTTTCGGTTGTTCCCCCCCCCCACAGCTTTGTGGCTCTTCGTTTCAAGTTGTTTTTGTCGACATCGATTTACGGAATTGGGTTTTATCTTTCAGTTGGCTGTGTGAGCCGTCTTAGGGGTGGTTCACTGTCTGTTGCCCTCTCTATCCATCCAATCTTTTCTGTCTCTGTCTCGCACAGAAAGCAGTCTTCTGCTGCTTCCTCCTCAGGCAGCTGTTCACTTAACTTTGGCAAAGTTTTTGCTCCGGAAACTTCTTGGCAGCAGCAGACGCAAACCCAAACCCAAACCCAAGAGCAAGACAAAACGTACGAACCCTTCCACTACTCACCATCTTGAAGATACACTCGCACCTTGACACACAACGCGACTGCGCTTCGTCTATGCTCTTCGTGCGGAAATACGCACACCATCAGTCATGGCTATGGTATACTTATAGCCAGGCACACACACAAACACACACACACACACACACACACACACATAAACACACAGAGACATAGTCGAGTGCACTACACCATCAATTCCAATTCAAATCTCCCCTGACTGACTTGCTTTATAAATGGTTTTATATTTCCTTTTATGTCGCCCTGGCTATGGCATGGCTCTTACTATGGCTCTGACTATGGCTATGGCTATGGCTATGGGTATGGCTCTTACTATGGCTATATACTCGGTTCGGCTCGGATGTGGATGCTGATGTGTCTGAGGCCGAGGCTGAGCTGTAGCTACAAGTACACCTCTCGCCCAGCTCGCTTTCTTTCCCATATATCGATTGGCACTTTATCTTAATCGCCTCGAGAGTTGTCCCTCGTCTTTCCTTCCCAACGTCCTCACCGCACCGCCTGCCCTTGGGAGCTCTCTTTCGCTTCCACCCTCCATCCGCCATCCATCCAACTAATGGTTTCCCTGGCATCGCAGCCTTCTGCTACGGCTGCTTCTCCTTCTGGGGTCTTCGTGAAATTTCCTGCAGCGTCATTATCATCAGTCGTAATCACGATGATGCCCCGGACCCAGACCGAGACCCAGACCCAGCCTCAACCATAGTCTGGGCCTTAGTTTGGGTTCTTTTTGTTGGCTACATATCTTTTGTACATATCTCTGTATCTGTATCTCCCAGGCACTGACTGCCATTGTTCGTTCGCCTAGGAAGTTCTGTTCTACGTTCTACATTCGTTATACTCGTACATGGCATACCTACCACCACAGCAGTGCCTTTTGTCTGTTTTTCTGTTCGGGTAGAAGTAGAAGTATTCCGATTTCAAACCCAATTCCAGTTCGCTTGGTTCTCCGTTCGTTTCCCCACACTCTGTCCCTCTGCAAGAGATTTAGTTTTGTAGTTTTGGGTTTCGTTCGTTTCACGATGTCTCAGGTAATCTTGCGATTGGTTTTCCTTTTCCTCATAGCTAATGGTATGGGTATGGGTATGGGCATACTCATGGGATTGGGCATTTACTTATTTATCTTATATCTGAAGCAGTCGGGTTGGGTTCAAGGTGGCCTTGGTTGGACCATTTTGGTTGCTTTAATAGCATAAATGGATTTTTGTGTGAGTTCGCTTGGATTTTCAGGGGAAACATACAATATACTCATGGGAAAAAAAAAAAAAAAAACATATATCTTTCAGACAGGCATGAGATGGGGTTACTTCACCTTTGATAGCTTATTGCCCTTATTTTTCGAGCGGAAAAGTTGTATATTTTGGCAAAGGTAATCGGGAAACAGAAATTTCATTTATTTGGATTATTAATAGTATGTTTTGGGAGCGTTTCAAATAGGGGTTGGCACTAACTACTTCAATACGATGTAAGAGTCACATTAGAATTGGCGAAACCATTAGTTTCGTTCATGAATGTTGTTTTGCAGGAACCTCCCACCCATTTAAACCCATTGGGAATGGGTCTTTGGCCTTGAAAAGTGCGTGGATGCCAATTTCAAGGACTTCCGCAGCAGCACGTTTATTCAATTGGCGCCAAATCTGCGGGCCAATGTCCCCTTATCACACACACACACAAACACCCCCCAATAGACCGTGGGAGAGAGAACGAGCGGAGAAAATCAAACAAACAAAAAAAAAAGTGAAACGGAAACCCAAACAAAACGCTGCCGACGTTGACTTCGCTGCCGGTGCGCAGTCTTAGACGTAAACAAAAACAGAAGCGAGACACTGCCGGTGGATCCTCTGGTCACAGATGCACCCCCACCCACACACGAGCACACACAGATACTCCCACAGAGGCACGCCACAGACAGATCCCTTTTGGCGGCATGCAAATGCTGCTTTTTTAATTGCAAACAACAACAAACAGTGGCGGCAGAAAAAGCAGCAACAGCAGCAGCGACTGCGACAGCGACGGCGACAGAATCTCAAGACCCCGTTTGTTTACACCCGAAGCACGTTACTCAAACACCGCATAGTAGTATGTACTTACACTTCCAGAGCAACCGGAACTAGGATCCGGAAATGTGCAACACGAAGAGACGAACGTATTTCTTGGCTATCCTAAAGATATACGATATGCTGAAGTACTACTCCACCGAAGTAACCGAATACCCCGGGCAAGCACAGAGCACTCAAATGGAAACGGTTACAGAACACGCGCTGCGAGAACCGCTTCGGACGAACGTTCAGAGTGAAGTGTACGAAAAATACGACAACCAACAAGCAACAACCCAACCCAACCAACTCGACGAACGACCCCGACCGACTCGTTTTTCCCATCTATAGGAAATACTTAATCCCAAACAGAAAGCAGCCAGCAGAAGCAACGCCATCGCCATCGCCAGCGCCAGCAACAGACATCGCAAGGACGGGCGCAAGAGCACCTCTTGAACCGCGCTGCGCCGTCGACGTTGACGTCGGCGTCAACGTCAGCGTAAGACGTGCCAAACAAATACGCGGCGACTGCGACGGTGACGCTAACGCTGACTTCAGCAGAGCGACATATCTTTGGATAGTCGGGGATGGTGGTGGGTGGTGGTGGGTGATGTCTCCTCTTCTCCTCTGACAATCTGGCTGTCAGCCCGCGGCGATGCACGAACACCCGATCCGATCCGAACCGAACCAGACCCGAAGCTCTCGTCCTACGTTTGGGGTTTTTCTTGGGGGCGTTCGCGGTCGCTTCAGGGGCTGGTGATGGTGATGGAGCTGGTGCTGGGGCTGGGGCTAGGGCTGGGGCTCTGTGTATATAGAGAATTCTCTGATGGGTTTTTCGGGCATACGTATACGTAGAGCCCGTTATGGGGTCTATCGCACTCTCCCCTTTTCGGCATCTGTATATATATGTACGTATATATAGACGGATATCGAACTTTTAAGGTGAGTAAGTGGGTTTGGTTTGTGGGTCTGACGATATGCGCTTGGAATTTCGGTATCTGTTTGCTTGAGATAGATATATGCGCTATATACTCGATACCTGACTAAACACACACACACACATGCGGGTGCAATGATACCTATTTTTGGGTATTACTATTGACTTTTTCGACTCCATAATCATTATTAGTGTGGACCCTGTTAAGGGAGATACTAGCTGATCAGGAAAGGTCCCTAAATGAAATATTTGTGCAGCTATTGTTCAGAGTTAAAATACGAGTATTATAATAGGATCTCAGTCCATAAGATCCCCTGTAAGCTCTCAACAATCTATTGTTTTGGTCCATCCTAGCTGCATGGCTTGTAACCATACATACATTTGGTATCGTATCGCGCCAATCTAAACAAGTTTCATATGGTTACTCCATATATGTATGATATGCGAGTCGTCGTTCGCATCCGATGCTGATGCCCGATGCTGCCTGATGCTTTGTTCGCGGTATACAGTGTTTATTTGGTCCGGTCTCTGGGGCCTCTTGGGACATTCATTATATTTGATACATACATCCGTTAGCGAAGAGCCATGGCAACTTCGATGGGCTATATACGAGAGTATCGTGTACAGAAAAATCCATTCTATGCTAACATCTTTCCCAATACAGACGCACACACACACACACACACACATCACATCGAATCGAGATACTTTTTGTATGTACATATATCTGTCTGTAACTTGAAGTATTGCTGCCTGGTCTGCCCGGGTTTGGTGGGATTGGATTGGGTTCTGGTTCGTTGAAATAACAAGAATACTCGTAGCCGAAGACGATGACGATGACGACGATGGCAGAAGCAGAAGCAGCAGCTACAACAAACAGCCCATTATCGTTGTAGTTGTGGGTTACCCCAAAAGCAATTTGATGGATTAGTTTTAATACAAGACTCAGGGTAAGCTGGAGAAGAGATAGATAGAGAGATAGATAGATAGATAGATGGATGGATGGACGGATGGATGGATAACACTCTTGGGTTCGGTTCGTCTCTTTTCGGTTCCATTCCATTCCTTGCCTTTCCCTTCCATTTGATTCGATTCAATTCGATTGTGTTTCGGTTCGGTGGTGGAAAATCACACATAGCATAGATATATGTGTGTTCATATAAATATATGTATATATATATATATATATATATAAATGTGTGTACGTATACTATCTGTGTATATAGAAGGAAAAGTATTGGAAAAGGTATAAAACCACAGCATCAATCTCAACGGTGGGGGTGGTGCTAATGGCGAAGGTTGTATAGCTCTTGTGTGGCGAGGCGGAGGATGGGGGTGGGGTCGGGCGTCTTTGGGGGCTCTGGTGTGGGACGTGCTGAGGGACTTGGAATTTCCTCGGGTTGACGATGACTCGACTCTATTATATTATGCTGTTCAGCAGCTATCGGCTACTGCTGCTGACTGACCAGCAGCAGCATGGCCAAACGCAGAAACTTTTCTCGAAATGCTTTGCGGTCAGGTCGCACAGGGGCTCCCCCCGCCGGCAAGGCCGGCAAGGGCGAGGAGCAGACTGGAGGGAGCTAAGCCCTTGGCAACCTTTAGAAAACGAGCTGAGTAAATCGACTATGCCAGGAGCATTGAAGAAAATGACCTTTCCTTGTGCCATTTCATGACTCCGAAACGGACAGATTGCGACGCGACGAAGAGGGTAGACACACACACACACATACAAAGGCACTTTCGCATAGAAGAAGCTCACACAGATACATAGTTAGGATGGGACCTGGGATTACTCACATCGAACCGAACACTCGCACAGAGTCAGAGCCAGAGCCAGAGCCAGAGCCAAAGCCAAAGCCAGAGCCAGAGCCCGACTAAGCTCATCTATTATGACCTTTTCTGGAGAGCCAGATGCGGGGATTTAGCCATAGAATTTATTATGGTTTTGTATTATATTGAACCGAAAATCGCAACCTCGCAACCTAGCCGCCTTGCCCCCCCGCCGCCTTGCCTACATACTGTACGAGTATATCCTGCAGTTCCCCCACGGCTGCTGCCTGACATCTATGTATGTTTGTATGTGCTATGTGCATTCATGGCCCACGTCCAGAGATAGTATTTCCCATTACCTTTTTTGATTATGTCCGGGCCTTGCCCTTAATGCTGCTCTCTTCCCCGGTCCGGTGTTCTATCCCAGTTCCAATTCAAAACCCAATCCTGGTCCCTCGAGTGAAGCTAAAGGTATCTCGACTCGTATCTCGTATCTCAACATCTTGCTCTCTCATTGTGTGCGCTATAATCTATATATGATGTCCGCCAGCAGCACTGCTCCTCCATCTATCTGTCCGTCTGTCTGTTTGTCTTTCTGTCTTTCTGTCGGTTCCTCTGACTATCTGACTGTGTGTCTGCCTGCCGGACGGTGTATGTGTGTGTGTGTGCGCGCCTATCTATGCGACGTCTGTCGCACCCGAAAGCACCATAGGGACCTGAGTTTTTCCTAGTAATTTCCTTTGTGCCTTTTGCCTCTCCAGTGGCATTGCCGGTGCCCGATACTCGGATTCGATGCCAGTGCCCTCGTTGGCCATGCCATCGCTTGGCAGCGACGCTACCGTCGCAGTTGCAGTCGCAGCTGCAGTCGACGTCAGCGTCTGCGTCTGCGCCAGCGTACGCGTCGCCGCGACTCTTCGTAATCCCAAACCCCCTGCCTTCTATGTATGCCCAATGCTGCTACGAGTTTATTGCCATTTCCATATCTGGGTTTTATATCTCGTGCTGTACGCCATCCGAGCCGACGAGTGGTTTTCGTGCATTCGTGAGAGGAGAGGCATATCCAGTCCCGTCCTTTATGGTGGTGGGAAATCAGTTCTGAAACTGCAAATAATGCAAAACAACCGATCTCTTCGGAGCTGAAAAGAGTACAAAAGTACATGTGTACATATTTTCATTATTTATGTATCTCATGATCTATTAAGATAATTTTATTTACATATGTACATATTTATGTGCAGTATTGCAACTTGGGATCACAATATGTGTACAAAATACACCTGTAAATGATGGCAGAAATGGTTTATAATAAACATATTCATTAGGATGAAAATTTATCAGAAGACTAAAGCAATAGTTTCGTATGTATAAACCTTTACAACTGTGCTCAGTATATCCATAAGGTTGAAGACCTTATGAGCGATGAAATTCCTTGAACTACCCATCTCTAGCATCTCTAGCCAACGAGCAAAAACACACACACACACATACAATGAGAGTCGAGTCGAATGATTTACCTTTCGCCTAAGAAGATTCGAAGGCTTCGCTTCCTTCCCTAAAATGAACATCCATTTGGGGCTCACACCAAAATCGAACCCAAATGAAATCCAATACATACCAATCCGATGGCAAAGACGATTTGTATTTATAGCCAGGCCCCGAAAAGAGTCGGAGCAACTTAGCGATTGAGGGAATGAACTGAATGACGGGCTGACGGACTGACGGATGGTCTGCAGGATTTTGGTGGGAAAGAGGGTCAGAGCATCTTTGTGCCCTCATTCGTGTGCGAGTATACGAATCCTCTCGACATCTTTGCACAATAAAGATAGATTAGCATCTATCGAAGCAGTGCCAGCGAAACGAGCCGGCCGAAGTACGATGTACGATGTACGGATACGAGCGGCATTGTGCGGGTTGTTCGGTCGAGCGGCGCATGACTGAAAGCTGAAAGCATCATCATCATTCCCAGCATTGGCACCGGCATCGGCATCGGCATCAGCATCGGCATCAGAACCTGCAGAAGCAGTAGCAGAAGCAGCAGAATCCCCCTGGCGGCCTCCCTCTAGAGTCTAAGCCCGTTGAGAACTGGCAAACTGGTGGAGCTGCGACACTCAAGTGCCATCATCGTCTGCCGATGTCTACGGAATGGAATTGAAGCAATGCCAGGAAAGGCAGCAGGCAACAACAACAGCAGCAGCAGCAGCCTCAGCAGAGAGGCATCTCAAAACCCAAGAGGCTTATGCAGGGCCGACAACCCAAATAAGTAGAGGTACGAGCAGCAAAGCCAGCAGCTAGCTATAAAGTAGAGGCAGCTGTCGGTCGGTACCGATGTTCGATGTTGGGACCGATTTCGAGGCTACATAGCATACTCGAACAATAGCAGAGGCCCCAGACAGAGACTGAGACTTGTTTCGAACCGCCACTCACCATCAGCATCATCATCATCATCATCATCATCATCATCATCGTCGTCATCATCATCATTGTCAATCGGTCGTTTCTCACGTTTCCCATTCAGTATGTATCTGTATCTGAATCTGAGCATGGGCATCGCTGTATCTATATCTGTACTCTAGATGAACGGGTATTCGTATAGTCACTCGACCCGATAACCTCGCTCCCACCCCGACTGGGACTGGGTCTGTCACTGGGGCTGTTCGGGCTTACACTCTTGGCTCTATGCGAGTGGAGGAGAGTCATTCATATTTGGTATACAATGGCAACGATTATGGCATGGGACGACTATCCTCATATACTTGATGATTAAAGGGTCGTTTTGGGTGAGCTTTTGTATGAGTTGCAAGAATCAATATTATATACAAAAGTGAATAAATCAACTGGAATACGGCATTGTATTATGAGAATGTGCTGGAAAACAAACTTTACTATTGGCTGACGAATTGAGTAAAGAGAAACCTTTTGAAAATTCCCCTATAAATCACTCCTTTAGCGATGAAATTAAAAATTCTTGGAAATCTGTATCTGAGATCTGTAAACATCTGACTCATTATCACTGATATCAGATGTAGTCAGACCTTTCAGGAATCCCCATCGATTCCTGGTATTCCTGAGACAATGTGAACTTGTGGACTTATCCACAAGTTTTATTGGGCACTTTACTTGCACTCAAGCATTACAACACCATTTTGTAACATAATACCGAGACATTCCGCGAATATATATTATATGTGTATCTATATTCCATGTCATTACAGCTATGAGAGGCAGGAATGACTCCTTTGTGATAATGATCCGGCCGTCTCTGACTTACATATATAGAAGACTTTACTTTGATTCTGATAAAGAATAACAATATTGTATAGGATAGTCAGAATCTTCTGGCTGAAAATTTTCTTAAAGATTCCAAATATAATTTGTATTAATGTTTAGTGGTTTCCACCTCTTTGATCGTAAAATATTAACTTCCCAGTCGGTTACAGTTACAGTCCCAAGATGTTGTATATCAACGGACAAAATCTGCAGCAACTGTACCCATCAGTAAATGGCTTCCAGGTAAACATTCTCCTCGCTGGCGTACGAGTGTGTACAGCTACCGGGGAAGAGGTAGAGGTAATGGCGATGGCATATAGTCTCTGTCCCTTACTCGTATATCCCTCAACAGCAATTTCGCTCACAGGGTTTTATGTCAGAGCTCTTAACGCGGTGGGGTTTCAATTTTGTTTTGGGGCGCAGTCGTGTGGCAGTAACCTGAGTCGTGTCGGGGCCTTCTCAACTTTGTCGTTGTACGGCTCTTGTTGTTGCTGTGCTTGCATTGATGTTGCTTCTTCTGCGCTACGCTACCTTTATCGGACCCCACACTACCAATAGCAGTGTTCGCCTTCCCGCTTCCCGCTTCGCGCTTCCCTTTCTATTCCTATTCTTCATTCCCATCCCCCAATCTTGTTCCTGCAGCTATCCCTACACTCGTAGGTTTTCTGCACCGACTATACGTGTAGCAGGTATAGTCAAGCCGTCAGTCAGTCCAGTCTGACGTCGGTCGGAAATCCTTGAAATGAAAATCCTGCTCCATCGCCGCTGCGGAGGGTTGCAAGCGTAATGGGAAACTTTCCCGCAATCGAGGACGGATGGAGATGGCGATGGCGACGTCTACGTCTGTGCAGCACTTCCAGCGCTCTATGGCCCCGTTGTGTAATCGTAGCTCCTTCTATCTCCAAGTGTGTATGTGTGTGTGCGTGTCCATGAGTGCAGATGTGGGTGTGGGTGTGGGTGTGTTTGCCCCTCCCCAAGGTCCCTCGTTGGGATGCTGCGCTGCTGGCATCCGTTGCTCCCCACGCCACTTGCCTCCGGCAATTCTACCCATCTAGAATTGATGTAGCACCTACAGGGCTCTCTTCCACGCACGTTCAACTTTACGCTCCTCCGTACCACCTATCCCACACGCCACGAAAGGACACGCCACGCCATACCACCCCCACATCGAAAAACCCTGCAGGTCATTCCATCTCATCCTCCCATCTCCGAATGGCCAGGGCGCGTAAAGTTTTAGAGGACGAACATAAAGTTTTAGCGCTGATTTTGCTTCTCACTTTGGCGAATGGGGAAATGCCAGGCGATTATATAACCTGAACAAAGAGAAGAACACCGCCGTTCATGCACATGCTGAGGGGGCAGACAGGTACTACATATCCTGACATATCACCTGAAAAAAGTTCTTACTTTTTGTAACAAAAGTAACCGCATTACGTTTCTCACGTTAAATGATGAATGTACATACAGACATACATACGATATGTATGGGAAGCTATACATACATACATCATGTACAGTGTACATCATTTGCAACTTCCTCCAATCATTTTCTATCGATTGGACCCAATTATACATGATTTTCTTAGTAAGAAAAGAACTTTGAATTTCGTAATCGAATTATATTGAAACTTTTTGATGATCATACAGACATATCCACATCAAAGTAGTAGAGTTTCAATAATATACAAATACTAATGAGCCCTACCACGTTTCGCATTGATAAGAAATGAGGAACAAAGCAAATCGACCCAAATAATACCGGTGGGTTTTATTTTTTTTTTTTTCTCGGCTCCCGCCATCTTTAGTTGCCGTATACCACCATAGCCGCCTTCCACTACGCCTCTGGATGCTTAGTTAAGAGCTAGAGCAACCAAATTTTGTATGAAGACTCCTGTGATAATTATACAGAATTAAGTTAGTTTCAAAAGTTTGTTACGAGCCCTGCCGCCCCACCAAAGGACGAAAATCGGTGGTAATCACAATGAAGATACGAGAAAACCGAATATGCAGAATCATAGATAATGACCATATCTAGCAGATTGCTGAATCTGGATCATTATTAGAGCCAAAAGGAACACATTAAATTTCAGTGGCTACGCAACTCCTTACAACACGCTTACACATTCTCTCTCTCTCACACACACACTCTTCCTCGTGCAGTGTGTGCGCTCTGGCGGAGAGGAGCGAGATAGAACGGCTGGTGTTAGTGTGAGAACGGAGAAAAATAAAAATATGTAAAAAAAAGCTCACACATATACTGAGTACCGGGTATGTAGAGCCATGACACATACGACTCATGTCGTTCCCGCTCGTTTAATTTACAAAAACTGTTAATCAATTAGTATTCATTTTATAGTTTTTACAACTTTAAAAGTAATTTTTTAAAGTGGATTACAGTATTTTTCCAATGAGATGTCTAAATGGAACTAAGTTTTCGAGTCCGCCTCGATTCTACGATAAGCATATGTACATTCGTATATTCAGCTTCAGGTATATTTGGTACATTTTTAGCCAGGTGTTTTTTTTTAAATTTCTTTCCACTGATTCCTGAACTTCTAACTATTGCCTGATCAGGTTTTGGCCTTAAAGATCTGCTCCAGCTGGGTAAGCAGGCCAATGGCACGATAGTTCTCCTCCATGAGAGCAAAGTCCTCCAGGGGCTTCAGTAGACGTAATGCATCCTGATAGTTCTCCACACAACGAGGCAGTCGTGCCTCTGCCTCGTTGCTTGTCTCAGAGTAGTGGCCTGGACCAGGAGCAGCATCTAGTTCAGCACCTGTAGAGCTGTGGATGGACTCAATTTTCTGTATCTTCAGTGGAGCGACCTCGTCCAAAGAGTGTAACCTCTTTTGTTTTGATGGGGGCGTGGCTTTCTCGGGTTCATCTTCATCGTCGTTGATTTCTATCAGTTCGGGTTGCACCTCAATGGCGATGCAGTCATCATCTTCATCTTCATCTTCATCGACATCACAACTTTCATTTGCTGTCGCTTTGTCCGTATCCGTCTTTGGAACCAACTTCGGCAGATGGATAATAGACTGCTCATCAACATCACCACTTTCATTTGCCTTCGCTTTGTCTGCATCCGGACTTGGCTTTGGATCCAACAACGGAAGACGGACAATAGACCGCTCCTGCGCCGCAAAGCGATGCTCGTTCCGGCCGCAGTAGCTGACGATGTCACGCAGGTCCAGGGATAAGGGCACTCTCCGTTGGGTCAGGGTGACGCCTTGGGAGAAGCTAAAGTTGTAGTGGCTTTTGAAGTGGTTGAACCACATCTTGTCGGGAAAGAAATTCTCAATCTTCAGTATGTCGCGCAGACTAATGGCCACAGTCCGCAGGTTGTCCAGATCGAGCCGTCCTTTTTGATGAATCTGTGAGCGTTCGATGTACTCGTACAGAGCCTTCTCCAGAAAGTTAATCTTTCGCTTGCGACGTTGCTGAACCTCCACCAGGGTGGCCTGGTTCTGACTAGAGGCGGCCACAAGGGTCTTGGTGCGGTACAGGGAGCGTGCTGAAGCCAAATGTGCTTCATTGCTCGTAGTTGGAGAAGCTGCTGGGGCTGGTACTTCTGTACTATTGACCATATGTCTGCACATGGACGTGTGCCGGCCGCAGTAGGACATGATATCGCTGAGGTCCAAGGAGCGCGGTGGCTTACGCGTCATAGTGATTTGTCGATTCGAAAGCGTGATATTGTAGGCAGCCTTAAAGTGATTGATCCACGGTTTGGTTGGCCTGAAGCCCTCGATCTGCATGAGATCCCGAAACTCCACGGCCTGGTTGCGGATCAGCTCCTCGTTAATGTCGGCATGCAGATAGTACTGGGCTCTTTGTATGTACTCGTACAGGCAGTGGCCCAGGAAGTTGAGCTTGCGCCTGCGCAACTCCTCGTTTGGCAGATCGTTATGGCGGCGCGAGGCCTCGTAGAACTCCATGATAGCCTCCCGATTGGACACGATGCTTTTGATCTGCTCCCAGCTGCAGTTGAAGTTCTTGGCTATCTTGCTGTACATAGGCAAGATGTCGTACTGTCGAATGACCGCCACTCGCTCCTCCAGAGTCAAAACGTTTCTTATGCGCAGTTGCCCACCGCCGTCTTCAAACTGTTTGCCGTCATCCTATAAATGGAATCTGGTTAGCTCAGGCATACTAATGGATATAGTCTATTAATTGAGAGGCATATACCGATACATGATTTTAATTATCTTGGTCGAAAATTCGCCGGGAATCTATTTTCTTTTATAACTATAAAGGAAAACTTTCTAATCAAGCTTCAGATGTGAAAATATAAAGCGCGGAACAGGGCGTTCTAGCCAAGATTCTAACGGGTACAAGAAACACCCTTATTTATCCACTCCGTCTCTCTGGTAAAGTGGGAGAGTTTTTGAATATCTACTCACGTCGTTTCTATACTGTTCCTTCCGTATTTCTTCTTCTGCAATTGCTGCCACCCCAACAATAAGCGCGAGGTTTAACATTTTTTATTTCGGTCATACGATTCTGGTTAGATATATCCCTCTTGGCAGTTTACTGGGCTATAACTGCCAAAACACCAATATCAGGTATCGGATTCTCTCTCTCACCGCTCTCAGGCCGACTACTTACGTCAGAGTACATTTCTATATATACTGCTCACACATACAGATACGTTGTTTCTTTTGCGCAGTGAGTGTAATCTCGCTCGCTCTTCCTCTCTCTCTCTTTTTGCAGGCTGCGACTCTCCCGCTGCTGTCTGTTGACATCAATAACTGTAAAGAACATTTCTTTTAGCTATATTAATTGAAAAATAATTTGAAAGATAAATACTTGTGCACTTGGTTGCTGGCGCGGGACCGTTGGATTTCGGTTTCCACAAATCTGCTGCAGGTTTTTAGGCACACAAACAGGCACCAAACACCAAAACAGCTCCGGATCGTGTGGAGTGGCGCAAAAAACTGTTGCGGGAGCAGGAAAAAAGTGTGTCGAAATCGAATTGTAGTCGTCTCTCTCTTTCTCTTGCTCAAAACCTGTTTGGGGAGCGTGTTATGCGAGAGAGAATCTTCTCTTTGGCTATCGCTCTCGCCACACACACACGGTGGCGTTGCTGTGTGGGTGCTTTCCATTCTATTTATAGCGTGGCATTGGAGTAACAATTTTGATCGGCTCTCTCTTGCCATTAACTCTCCGAATATCGTTTGATTTCCCGCGCTGTGTATTTAATACCATTTGGGCATCTAGTACTAACTCCTGTGCCGATGATCTCAGCTGGCAGCCTTTTATCGCGACCCATTTTGATGCACATTTTGATTCGCGCAATCAGATTCAATTAAAGCACTCTTTTGCACAATTTTAATAATTACCATTAAGTTCTTATAAAATTTACGAAAAATGCATTTTGGCGGAACACACAACCATTCAGTTTATCGATACCGCGGATGAAAAGGAGGTAGAGAGAATCACTTGGTCACGTTAATGCTGTTGGAGTAGGAGAGCAGCCAAATCCTCGAGATTCGATCTGCTACACATTCGAGCCTTGGTCTTCTGGGCCGGGCCAGTAGATGCGCCTCTCCTTATATCTGTCTCTTTTCCAATGCAAAGAAATGGTTCATGTATGTGCTCTACATGAATGTGTCAGTGAGTCAGCGAAACAGCGTGCAGAGAAAGGAAGAAAGAGTTCAAGAAATTTAAAATTTTTTATCGGACCAAAATCAGCTGATTTTGTACCGCTTATCGATTTCAGCTGAGAAAACCAGCTGAGAAAATGTAGCTTATCGACCCTCAGAAAAATACCAACACATACCGTCGCATTTTCAAAATATACCGTTAATATACTGACGAATTATTCAAGTTCCATCTTGTCTAAAAAAAGGTTTAAAAGAATAGGTCAACAAAAAAACAGTGGCAAGACATTGTTGCAATGAAAAATCCCTCCACGAAAAGAGGATATCCCATTACATAGAGAGCAAATTAAAAAAAAAATGATAGCAAGTCCAACCTAACTTGAGCGCCAAAAAGAAATGTTTTGAAAGCAAATGAGCGATAAGGATTTAAATGCAATGTACATTTTATTTTACAGACTCTCTTTCTCAAAGAATCTCTGAATAACATGTAATACGGAAGAATAATTTTTAAACTCTGGAGATTTCTGCTTATCAGACTGTTACGTCGGAGGATAACTTCCTATAGCCTTTGGATAAGTTCAAGCCGAAGACCTTGAACCAAACCCCGATAGTAAACAAAAACGAGAATCATTCATTTTAAATATTTGAGCTTTATATTTTCCATATTCTTCTTCAATTCATTTCATTTGTTCAGTCAGCCACTGGTTCCATTCGTCCAGCATCTACTTCCTCAGTAGAACAGGAGCTGCGCTGTAGGCCGCTGTATAGGGAGATGCCACATACGGAGATGCCACATAGGGAGAAGCGACGTACGGAGATGCCACGTAGGGTGAAGCGACGTAAGGAGATGCCACGTATGGGGATGCCACATAGGGAGATGCTGCTGCCACGTAGGGGGCCGCAAAGTTGCCGTGATATTCCCGGCTGTAAACAGCAGCCGCTGGGGCAGCAGCCACCAGAGGAGCAGAGTAGGCCAAAGGAGCCACAATTCCGGGCTTGGCCGAGGCGCAGGCAATCAAAGCGACGAAGGCGAGGGCGAAGAACTTGAACATCTTGAATGGATTGTTGTACGGTCGAGTGTTTCAAACTGAACTGATGACAATAGCGGAATGAACGACGTGTTTTATAGCCACAAATCCCGCAGCAGGTCTGCCTGCAGGGCAACCTTCGACAGTTAGAAAAACCAAAGGCTGGTAGCTGGTATTAATTTTTGGCCTGCTTAATTAAAAGAGACGTCCCCACAGTACACGACGCTGGTGTCGCTTGGGCCGAACCACTACGGGACTACGTGACTGGCGTGGCCAAAGAGGGGCCTCAGAATTCGGCTGTTGGGCTGGCGCGAGACCTTGCAAGGCCGTTTGGCAGGCACTCAACCTCCACTGTGTGTGGGGCTATAGCTATATAAGCTACGGCCCACCGCCTGTTTGGGCATCAGTTGCATTTGTTCCATTCAACAAGTAAAACAATCTAAAATCCCAATCCTCCCAAGATGTTCAAGTTCGTCGCCGCCGTTGTCCTCGCTCTGATTGCCTGCGTTGCCGCCAAGCCCGGAATCGTGGCTCCCCTGGCCTACTCCGCCCCCTACGTGGCTGCCTCTCCCTACGTGGCGGCGTCTCCATATGTGGCATCTCCCTATGTGGCATCTCCCTACGTCGCCTCCCCGTACACTGCCGCCTACGCTTCTCCGTACACCGCTGCCTACACCGCTGCTGCCTACGCCTCCCCCTACGCTGCCGCCTACACAGCCCCCTATGCCGCTGCTGCCGCATACACCGCCCCCCTGCTGCTGAAGAAGTAGAGAGCACACCGGAAGTGCCACCTGCCCACCTGTAACCTGAACGGAAGTCGAAGGACTCCCATCCTGCAATGAATCACTGAAATAAACTCGAATCAAACGAACAGTCAATATCTTTCTTGGGGAAATACTGATGTAAATACTTGCAAAGAACAATTATTTCAAATGATTATCACATATCCTGTGCAGTCTCAAAGCAGTAGTTCTCTGAAAGATCCTGTAGATCCCAAAAAACAATTAGCTTGTGGAAGCCATCCATTGCGCTTCATTCAATATCGAAAGTGGAAATTTTGTTGTTTGTTTTAGTGGGTATGCGAATAAGTTTTTACTTATTTTCCACCACCCACCATTTTTTAGTCGGGATCATAGTATTTTGGTATGAACAATATCCTAATATAAAATTTAAACATAATAAATTTGTTTGTCTTGCGCTCAAATAAAAAATCAGTCAGATGGTATGTGTTGCGAATCAGAAAGGTGCAACTACTTGAAATTGAGAAATCACCAAAACCATTGAACGGCGTGCTCATTGGCACGGATCTAGGTTCAAAGTCGAATTCGTAATTAGATGTCACTACACGTGGTAGTACACTACATATTTGCATATTGTAGATATAAGTATTTTTATGATCTTTTTGGACGTTCCTTAGTTCAATGTTTCCTATGTGGGCGTGGTATTCTTCTTTACGATTGACAGAATCTCTTTGATCGATTGCAAGCATATTTTGGAAAATATTAATATAAAATTCAGCAGAAATGGACTCAAAATAGTAGCGACATTTAAAAGCTTATCCAATAATAGTCTGGTCTCCTACTGGGTATGATATGATACTCAAGTTCTCTGCTCTACACAACGTTGGTATCGACAACGTAGTTCTTTAAGAGATCAACTGTTTTGAGACTGCATCCTATCACATATCCTGTGGAAGTATGCAAGTATTTACATCAGTATTTCCCCAAGAAAGATATTGACTGTTCGTTTGATTCGAGTTTATTTCAGTGATTCATTGCAGGATGGGAGTCCTTCGACTTCCGTTCAGGTTACAGGTGGGCAGGTGGCACTTCCGGTGTGCTCTCTACTTCTTCAGCAGCAGGGGGGCGGTGTATGCGGCAGCAGCGGCATAGGGGGCTGTGTAGGCGGCAGCGTAGGGGGAGGCGTAGGCAGCAGCGGTGTAGGCAGCGGTGTACGGAGAAGCGTAGGCGGCAGTGTACGGGGAGGCGACGTAGGGAGATGCCACATAGGGAGATGCCACATATGGAGACGCCGCCACGTAGGGAGAGGCAGCCACGTAGGGGGCGGAGTAGGCCAGGGGAGCCACGATTCCGGGCTTGGCGGCAACGCAGGCAATCAGAGCGAGGACAACGGCGGCGACGAACTTGAACATCTTGGGAGGATTGGGATTTTAGATTGTTTTACTTGTTGAATGGAACAAATGCAACTGATGCCCAAACAGGCGGTGGGCCGTAGCTTATATAGCTATAGCCCCACACACAGTGGAGGTTGAGTGCCTGCCAAACGGCCTTGCAAGGTCTCGCGCCAGCCCAACAGCCGAATTCTGAGGCCCCTCTTTGGCCACGCCAGTCACGTAGTCCCGTAGTGGTTCGGCCCAAGCGACACCAGCGTCGTGTACTGTGGGGACGTCTCTTTTAATTAAGCAGGCCAAAAATTAATACCAGCTACCAGCCTTTGGTTTTTCTAACTGTCGAAGGTTGCCCTGCAGGCAGACCTGCTGCGGGATTTGTGGCTATAAAACACGTCGTTCATTCCGCTATTGTCATCAGTTCAGTTTGAAACACTCGACCGTACAACAATCCATTCAAGATGTTCAAGTTCTTCGCCCTCGCCTTCGTCGCTTTGATTGCCTGCGCCTCGGCCAAGCCCGGAATTGTGGCTCCTTTGGCCTACTCTGCTCCTCTGGTGGCTGCTGCCCCAGCGGCTGCTGTTTACAGCCGGGAATATCACGGCAACTTTGCGGCCCCCTACGTGGCAGCAGCATCTCCCTATGTGGCATCCCCATACGTGGCATCTCCTTACGTCGCTTCACCCTACGTGGCATCTCCGTACGTCGCTTCTCCCTATGTGGCATCTCCCTATACAGCGGCCTACAGCGCAGCTCCTGTTCTACTGAGGAAGTAGATGCTGGACGAATGGAACCAGTGGCTGACTGAACAAATGAAATGAATTGAAGAAGAATATGGAAAATATAAAGCTCAAATATTTAAAATGAATGATTCTCCTTCGTGTTCTTTCAATTCTCAACTTCGGCTTAGCCCGGAACGTGTGCAGGTTACGACAGGTGCAGTGCCAATTGGCAGGCCCTGCAGTATGAGGCCAACTACTTCCCAGTCCTGTGGGACGTAGTCCACATGCGGAACAAAATGGTCACCATTTACAGGGATTCGGCGGACAGATTGGCCAAAATCTCGTACACCACTTTGACAACGACACATGGATAATGCAGAAAACGACGCGCACTCCTTCCAAAGAACTGGGGAAGTTCTATAACGACGAAGTCCTTAATCTGAGAAAGCTATTGGCGTTAAATTTCGCCCAATCTTCAACACCACTCAGCTTGGACAAAGTGAATAGCTCGAACTTTGAGTTTCGTGGAGTGATCCTTTCCTCAAATGTGGCCGAAATCTTGCAGTTTATCCATGTGTTTGAGCTCATGGACATAGATCTGCTTTTTCTCCCGCGTGGTTGAGTAATTGAGTAACATAATTCAGCTATTTTAAATGGGAGTTCCTGTTGGGCGGGCTATCATGGCAGTTATGGCAGTGGCGGCATCTTGCGGCAAGCGGCAGCAGTTGTTCATGTAAAGTTCGTCAGGTGTCGCCACTGAGGCATGTAGCTAGACTGTAGATATCATCTAGCGGAGTAAAACAAAAAATTTAAATTGAAGAAAAATTTGTTTAATTATTGTTGGCTTCTATTTATTTAAGCCCAAAGCTGGGAACAAAACTTATCGTTAAATCGTATGTGAGACCCATTTTCCTCATCGAAAACAAATCAAGCGCAACAAACCGCTTTCCACCCCACCACAGACTTTAATTTCCGCTCCAATATAGCAACGACATAAAATTTAAATATTATTAAGCGTATTGCACTAAATGTTTGACTCTTACGCGTTCTGCACACACCTGCGACGAGAATGTGTGAAAATGTTGGTGAGGCCGAAAAGGGACGATCTCAAGAAGCGCACTTCCGTTCTGGCCTAGATAACGACCGTGACAAAAAAGAAACAACAAAAACGATAACGAAAAAGGGTAGCTGCAACTGCAACCCCGTTAACAAGTTTCGACGTTTCGGTGCAACGAAGCGCAGCCTTGAGATCAAGGTGTTGTGTGCGTGGGAGTCGGGGGGCTGTCGGGCCCTCCTACCATTCCCCCTGGGGTTTGCTGATGCGTTGATGTTTGCTGGTCGAGTCGGGTCAAAACCAAAGCCGAATAATTGTTGCGCAACAAGGCGAAGCAGAGCAGCCCTCGTCATTTCAGCGATTTTCCCATGAGGAGTCGGTCGGAGCCAGACCAGAAACGCGATCAGCCAGCCATAAAATGTGGGAAAATCAACTCCGAATATGATTGACAATGGGCAACTGTTGGACTATTCGACTGCTGTTATGTTGCTGGCCTGCCGGCCTGCTGGTCTGTGTTTCGGCCCGGTCTGCCCATGGCAATGGCTTCATTACGACCGAACAGCTCCCACAGTAATAACACTTTGGCTGCATGTTTGGAAATTGCACTTCGTGCTGGCAGACTTCCAATTCATTTCGTTCAAATGTGTGGCGCTGCCTTTGGGCCATCGCTGCATCGCTACAGCGGAGTGGAGCCGTAAGTGGAGGCAGTAAGTTATTCTATCATGGATCATGATCCGCTTCAAAGTCTTGCCGAAACCCAATCATTTGTGGCCCACAGTAGACAGGATCGGTTCACCGGGGGTTCAATGCTCGCGGGTCACGACTTTGACTCCGAGTCCAACTACTACCATAAATCGGAGCAGAGCAGGCAGCCGTTTGATGTGGACTTTGAGTGACTGTTCGAGATCAGACTGGCTCAGACATCTACTCTGGATGCATTCAATCCCCTTTTCAATCAATTGACGGAAGTGCCTTTCCACCTTTGGCCAAACGATCATGATGTATTGGATGCGGTTCTATTGGCCAAACGAAAAGCTTACTTACCCATTTGCTATTTGTCAAATTTTCATTAGATGGCCATAAATTGAAATCACGCGGCATTTGTTTTGGCCAGCATACAAATAAA